CACGTGGCGGATGCGCCCGAGGCAGTAGCCCGACAAAGCGACTATCCCGTTGGTCCAGAGCGCTAGGCTGAGACTAGCACTCAGGAGGTTCACCCTCGACTGACATCCTCAGACGACTACCCATTGTTTGTCTGTATCTGCGGCACACCGTGTCCCAACTGCCTTGTGAGCACAGCACATTGTGCGGAGAACGATAATTGTGCCGTAGTTCAGTGATTTGTTGTTCATGTGAATGTGTATAACGCCAGACATGCTGACTCGCCATTTTCGGGTCTAACCTAACAGTTGTTGACACTCGTAGATGACTGTTTTTTGTGATACTGTGGCGCATCTTGGGGCGTCTTATGTCGTATTGTCCGCTTCACTAGGTTGCCGTAGAGTCCAGTTCTTGGTATCAAGTGGGATTCATATGCGGTCGCCATCAGGGGAGCTTTTAGAAGCTGGTTAGAGAAGATATCTCTCGTAGGGAGGGATCTCTAGATCTCGTCCTAGCACTGAGCTGACAGTACCAGCATCTCCGATCGTTCATGGTGGTCTCATTGCAGCAACCAGTGCCTTGTTGATAGGTTGAAATAAGTTCCCTCTATGAGAGTTCTCGTGCTCACCGTCTCTGCTATCCTACATGCTGCACTCGTGAAGTCTGATTGTGACCCATCTAAGCGTCCACAACTACCACAAGAAGCCAGCGATATGCTGAAGAGGGCCATACGCTTGGATGGTGTTCCGACCGATCAACAGATCGCCAAAGCTCCTAATTGTCAACGAGTTAAGCGTCTGCTGAACGAGACTACCTTCTCGTATCTCTTTCCGTTGGCTAATCAAGGTAAAGGCATGGGTAAAGGACCTTACACCTACAAGAATTTCCTCAAAGCTGTGGCGAAGTGGCCGAAGTTCTGTGATGATGGCGGACCGAATAACGCTGATAAAGATAAGGTTTGCTTGAGAGAATTGAGCACTATGTTCGCCCACTTTGTCCAAGAGGTTGGTGCCCATAACCCAAGCAGTAAATATCCTTCATGGCGACAGGGCCTATATTTCTTCAGGGAGGTCAATCGTGGCTCAAGGTACTGCGCCACATCTCCCAAGTGGGTACAAAAAAGGTTTCCTTGCTCTGATGGTCAATCGTACTTCGGTCGTGGCGCAGCCCAAATCAGTTGGAACTACAACTACGGTCCCTTCTCAGTGGCCATATACAATGACCCCAAAAAACTGCTTACTAATCCAGATGGCGTGATCACCAACGAAGATGGTTGGCTGAGCTTTGCCAGTGCTATCTGGTTTGATATGACGCCACAGACTCCTAAGCCGTCTATTCATGATGTGGTTACCGACTGGTGGAAGCCCAACAACGATGATAAAGCTGGAAGCAGACGTCCAGGTTTTGGCACAACTATCATGATAACTAATGGGATTGAATGTGGTCATTCGAGTCAACAAGCAGCGAATCGTGTGGAGTACTACAAGGGATTCTGCAAGTATTTCAACATGTCTCCGGGGG